ACAGGAACGGAGTTCCGGCTGGCTCCCAAGTTGGCCACGCCCAGTAGGAACTGATTAGCATAATAGGCCACACCCAACAGCAGAAACTCATTAGGATTGGCTACATTAGGGGTGTGTGGCCTAACATGCAAAGGAGTTCTTGCTACAAAAAAAGGCCCTGGGTTTTGACAACAAACAAGGTAAACAGAATAAGAAGCAAAAGGTGAGTGTGGCTGGATGACCACACTCCTGGTAACATGGGGGTGCAGCCTAATGTGCTAATGAGCTGTGCTGTCAGGGGTGTGGCCCAATATGCTAATGAATTCCTGTTGTTGGGGGTGGCCTATTATGCTAATGAGTTCCTGCTGGGCTTTTTCTACAAAAAGAGCCCTGATTAAAGGCCTTGGCAAAACAGCGCCCCCTGCCTGCTACCCCCCCCAAAGTGCCTTGTCCTCCCCCAGAAAAAGCTAACTCCACAAATCGCTGAGCTGGAAAAAGTACAGAGGAGGGCGACCAAGAGGATGAGGGGGTTGGAGCCCCTTCCCTAGGAGGAAAGGCCAAAGAACCCGGGACTCTTCTGTTAAGCAAAGAGACGACTAATGGGGGGACATGATAGAGGTGTATAAAATTATGCATGGGGCAGAGAGAGTTGCAAAAGAGAACTTTCGTCTCCCTCTCCCCAAATATGAGTACCCGAGGGCATCCAATCAAGCTGATGGGCAGTAGGCTGAGGACGGACAAAAGGAAAGGCTACTTTACACAGAGAGGGATTGTAATGCGGAATTTGCTGCCAGAGGATGTAGTGCCGGCCACAGGAATAAACGGCTTTAAAAGGGGATTAGATAGATTCATGGAGGAGAAGTCTATCAAGGACTGCTAGCCGTGGTGACTGAGGGGAACCTCCACATTCAGAGGCACTAATCCTCTGAATCCCAGAGCCTGAAGGCAACATCAGGGGAAGGCCTCGGCCTCTGTGCCCTGTTGTTGGTCCTCCAGAGGAACTGGCTGGCCCCTGTGTGAGACGGGAGGCTGGACTAGAGGGACCCTCCCTGGTCTGATCCAACAGGGCTCTTCTGATGTCCTTCTCAGGGGAAGGCCTCGGCCTCTCTGCCCTGTTGCTGGCCCTCCGGAGGAACTGGCTGGCCCCTGTGTGAGACGGGAGGCTGGACTAGAGGGACCCTCCCTGGTCTGACCCAGCAGGGCTCTTCTGGTGTCCTTATCAGGGGAAGGCCTCGGCCTCTCTGCCCTGTTGCTGGCCCTCCAGAGGGACTGGCTGGCCCCTGTGTGAGACGGGAGGCTGGACTAGAGGGACCCTCCCTGGTCTGACCCAACAGGGCTCTTCTGATGTCCTTCTCAGGGGAAGGCCTCGGCCTCTCTGCCCTGTTGCTGGCCCTCCAGAGGGACTGGCTGGCCCGTGTGAGGCGGGGTGCTGGACTAGAGGGACCCTCCCTGGTCTGACCCAGCAGGGCTCTTCTGATGTTCTTGTGTGTCTGACCTGCAGGCCATTCTAGGATCGCCTAGGCACTCCAGAG